CAAAAGCGTAGGTGAATGTCAGTGCCTCCAGACCCTGGGGCTGCCCAGATGGCTTGGGGCTGGGCCTCAGCAGCAGTCTTCCTCACTCTGGGGTGGAGGGCAAGAATGGGGGACTGGCACCTAACTGCCCAGACCTCTTCTTATTTGGAGCCATTCAGTCCCTCCTCTTTGCACAGAACCAGGTGACAAAGCAGGTGCCCCAAGCAGGTCCAAGTCAAGGTGGCCACGTATCTATCTGGGGAAGGCAGAACACCTGGGCTGAGAAGGGTCAGCACTGTCCTCAAGGTCACACAGCAGACACAGCCAGGCAGGCACCTCCAGCAGAGCCACAATTAGACTGGGAGAGAGAGGACCCTGGCTCCCCCACATTTGCACCTTCTGTGTGAAGACATTAGTAAGCACCTTGGTCATCGCCCAGACATAGGTTTCCGAGACTGTCCAGGCTGTTTCTGGGCTTCCCTAGAAACACTGGTCTTGTGGGGGAATAAAGGTTCTCCTCTAATAGGCCTGAGTTAACCTCTGAACCCAGGGCCAGGGAAAGGAAGGTCAATGACACTCTGTTGGGCTTTGCCTGGATTGGGTCCTACGTCCCAGCTCTCTTCTACTGCATGCTTTTGCCCTGCCTGGACCTCAGTTTCCTGATTTGCTGCATGGGTAGAACTCTTAGGTCCTTGCTGCCCCTGTAGTTGGGATGTTGTGTAGAGGTGAGTAGGGAACAAGGGACAGTTTCAGGTCTCTCTCACAGATCCTGGATCATTATCTCAGAGTCGCCACAGGTGCAGGTGCAGAGGTAGGCTTGGGGGAGACCCAGGGGTCTATGCCCAGCATTGACCTTTAGTGAGCTCAGGGGTGGGGTGGTGAGCACTGCCCAGCAGCCTTGGAGGAGGCTATATGGGTATAGCAGAGGGAAACTGAGGCTCAGAGGGCTAAATATTAAGTGACTTGCCCTAAACCATATTCCAGGAAGGACAGAGGTGGGCCTAGAAGCTAGTATTCTGACTATAAATCCCACTACATCCTTGATGCCAAAACTCTTTTCACATTCTTATTCCATAATTTCCAATTACCCACATTCCTGGAAGGGGCATGGACCAAGTCATTTAAAAAGGCAATAAATGTCTTTCAGTCTGGATCTGGGACTTCTTTTTTTCTTGGCAACAATATATAATTTTAAAGAAATTTGTTCAGACTGATTTTTGGAATGCTCAGGCACAGCCCTGCTGAAGCAACTGTGAAGGGTGGGCAGTCTGGGATCAAAAAACAAGATTTTTTGTGATATATATGTCCCTATTTGTTTAGAACAGGTCTCCACCCCCCAAGAACCCAGGCCCAATATGGGCTCATCCCTCCCAGCCCCAGTTGTAGGTGTCAGACTCAAATCACAGCCTGACTCCTGTCAGGAAGCACAGTGAGAGCATTTCCAAAGCCTGCTCCTTCTGTCACTGGCCCTGGGGACCAAAAAAAAAAAAAAAGCCCCCTGTGGACATTTCATGTTCTTCTTAAGAATGACAAAGTGGGCCAGACATGATAGCTCACACCTGTAATTCCTGTAATTCCAGGGAGGTTGAGCCAGGAGGGTTGCAAATTAAAGACCAGCCTGAGCAACTTAGTGACACCCTATCTCAAAATAAAAAAATAAAATAAAAAGGGTTGGGGATGTGGTTCAGTGATTAAGCACCTCTGGGTTCAATCCTTGGTACAAAAGGAAAATTAAAAAAAAAAAAAAAGAATGACAAAGTGAGCATTTGTCAGTACACACCAAAAAAATGACAAGCTGAGCTGGATCTGGTAATGCGCACCTGACATCCCAGTGCCTTGGGAGGCCGAGACAGAAAAATCAGGTCTGCCTGAGCAAATTAGTGAGACCCTGTCTCAAAATGAAAAAGGATGAGGTTGTAACACAGTGGTGGAGTGCTTGCCTGGGATGTAAGAGACCCTGGGTTCAATCTGAAATAGAAGGGAGGAAGGGAGGGAGGAAGGGAGGGAGGGAGGGATGGAGGAAGGGAGGGATGGAGGAAGGGAAGGAGGAAGGGAGGGAAGGAGGGATGAAGGAAGGAAGGAAGGAAGGGAGGGAGGGAAGGAGGGATGAAGGAAGGAAGGAAGGGAGGGAGGAAGGAAGGAAGGATCTTCCACTGTTCTACTCAGGACCTTCCTGGCAGTCCATCCCGACATTATTCTTTATCTTTCTGTCACCATCACCCCCATCAAATAATCTAATAAAAATCCTCCTTCAGCCTCCAGACAGTTCTTTTTCCCCAGGTCATCCCACGTGGAGTGGGAGGAAAGCCCTCGGGCACTGTTCCCATTCCAAGTAGCACCACCCAGGAGCCTGGATAGAGCACCTTCTCAGTGCCGCGCCTGGTGCCAGGCTGCGGCAGGAAGCTTGCTGGGGGTAGGGTGGGCAGCCATTGCAGTCTTAGGCATTTAGAGCTGTGAAGACACCAGCAGGCGCATGTTCTAGAGGCTACAGCTGCTCCCTGTTGCTTTCTAACCCTGCCGTTCAAGTCTCTGAAGAATCTAGCTTCTGCTTTCAGCTGGCCCACAGCCCCTCTAGCATGGCTGGGTCCGTGGCCCAACACCTGCCCCTTACACGCACCCGCACACATATAGACACTCTCCTCCATGGAAAAACAGCCTGCCAGGGGGAACTTAAAGCCAAAAGACCTGGGTTGGAGTCTGGCTCTGTCAGCTACTTGTTTAGCTAGGTTCACTCATGGGTCAAATGGGCAGGATCACAAAGTCAGTCTCATAGCATCTTTTGTCCACTGAATGTCCTGGGTAATGTAAACAGACTTTAGTGGCTCTCTCGTAAATGGTAACTAGTTATTATCCATTATTTATTTTTTTACACCTCCCGCACTTTCCTCCCATCTCAGTTTACTGATCCCAGGTCCCATTTCCTCAAGACTTTACTACAGGACCAGTTGTGGCACTTAACCCTTTCGTGGTTGGTTTTTGGTCTTGTGATGCTGGAGGTGGAAACTCAGGCATGCTAAGCACATGTTCCACCCCTGGGCTGCACCCCAGTCCTCACTCAGGATTATTAAAGCAATAATGAGAACGTGTTAATTCTTTTATATATATATATATATATATATATACTGGGGATCGAACCCAGGGGCTTTCAACCACTGAGCCACATCTCCAGCCTTTTTTAATATTTTATTTAGAGACAGGGTCTCACTGAGTTGCTAAGGCTGGCTTTGAAATCGCCATCCTTCTGCTCAGCCTCCCCAGCCCCTGGGATTACACAGCACACCTGGCTGAGAATGTGTCAACTCTTCAAAGAGAGTGTTTGCACTTGACTTGGGACAACTCTGCTTTACTACCAAGTGTGTGAGGGGAGATCTTGTGCTGAGTACTGGGGTCCATGGAGGGAAGCTCGAGGTACACATAGGAGATTCTCTTGCTGTCTCTGAAGTCGCCATCCGGGAGTTTGCCTAGTCTATTCTGTTCAGGCCAAGGAAGGGGAAAAAGACGGAGTCGTTAGGAGAGATCCGCCATTGTTATCAGCCCACAGTGCGCCTTGGCAACCCCTCTGAACTGGGTGCCAAGAGCAGGCAAATGAGATGTGGCAGCAGCAGTGCAGGAAGCAGAAGCACACGGAAGCATGGTGAGCGTCACAGGGAGGTGGCAGGGGCAGCCTGGCCAGGCTGCCAGGGCTGGCGACTGCCTGAGCAGGCGCCCCAGGGAGAACCAGAGGAGTTAGGAGGGACCTGCACAGGCCTCCCACCTCATAGCCTGCCTTCCGTCCATTTCCTCCTAACACGGGCCTAGAAGTGGCATCCCCACCCCACCCCCACGCCCTCCCCGAATTCTGAGCTGGGAACACTCTGGGGTCAAAACAGTAATCTCCCCAGCAGATCAGCCTGGAAACAAGAAATGAGAAAATAACAAAATAAGGAACTGCTGCTATCAGCAGAGCTCTTCTGATAAAGGATTTAATCAGATATGGGGCCAGATGAGAGGACGGGGAGCTACCAGGATCAGAGGGAAGCTCTGGCAAAAGACACAGGCTGCAGGGTTGCGGGGGGCCTCCCCAGTCTCTTCAGCATGCTGGACACCCGGAGGGGTCTTCTTGCACCCCAACCCTCCAGTTTTTCATAATCTGAGAAAGTTTCTCCACAACCTTTTAGAAACTTCTTGCTGGCCAGGCTTCTCCCACACATGTTAGCCTCTCAGGCTGGTCCCTGAAAATATGAGTCTTTAGTCCTTTTTCTGAGAATCTGGTTATTGAATAGAATTGTCCCAAAGACCTTGACAGAGCCTTAGAGGCCCCATTTATTCATACTTTGCTGATGGAACAGGCCCCCAGAACACCTGCCATGGGCTCTTCTGTTATCTGAAGACAGGGAGGATCACCCAGGTCACCACTCAGACCGGTTTCAGTAGGGATAACCTCAGGTCCTTCCTTCCTCCCTTCCAGACAGTAGCCAGGCACAGGGCTCATGACCTGTGCCACCTGAGGAGTCACCAAGTGGCCTAAACACCAGGTTGTGGGCTTTGGTTCTGGTGGCTCAGGTCAGCACCTGGAAGGAAAGGCCCCTCTGCCCATTTCTAGGAGGAATGCACACCTCTCCCCTGGGCAAGAGGAGGCTCAGCTCAGGAACTTCTAGGATCAGATCGGAGGCCCACCTTGGGCTACAGGCATATGGCGGCACCCTTTCCTCACCATACTCACAGCAGCTTGCCTGAGAGGGATGGAAAATAGTAAGCAATTTAAGCAACTTGAAACTGTTTCTGAGTACAATGACAGCAGTTAGTCTTTTTCTACAGTCTCTTGAGTCCTCACAGCACCCTGAGGAGACAGGCACGCTCAACAGCTTGCCCACACGCACAGGTGGTGGGCCAGAGCTTCCTCAGCTTCCTTCCCTTGCTACCAAGTAGATAGGGAAGTGCCAGGGCTTCTCAAGACCACCCAGCCAGTGGAGGACAAGGACACAGGTGCCCCATTGAAGGCTCTGGGTCCCTCCACTGACTCCGCCCCTCCCTTGCCCCAGCCTGGCCCAGTCCTTATGGGCCCTCTTTACCTCTACTCTGGCCATCTCTCTGGTGTTTGTCGTCATCCCCTTCTGCCGAGATGTGAAGGTGTTGGCCTCGGTCATGGCGCTGGCGGGCTTGGCCATGGGCTGCATCGACACGGTGGCCAACATGCAGCTGGTGAGAATATACCAGAAGGACTCGGCTGTCTTCCTCCAGGTGAGCCCAGCCAGCAGGTATGGGGTTGGGTGGGGGGTGGAGCACAAGAGCTCCCTGTGCCTGGTCCCTCTCTGCCAGCCCCATGTCCTAAGAAGCTTTCCCTCTGGGCAAGGGTGGTGACTCAGCCCGGTGTGACCACTTACCAGTGGGCCACACCTGCAGTCACTCAATCCTCTGGGCTTGGGTTTCCTCATCTGTGAAGTGGGTCATGATCTCTATCTGCCACGCAAGGTTGTCACGGGAACCCCAGAGCTAACGAGAGAAAGTTCTTTGTGAATTGGAAAAGGGTGATGGAGGGCCGGCCCGTTTGCTCTCCGGACCCCTTCTCTGCCTTCTCCACCTTCCCTCGCTCCTCCCATTTTCTTCTTTCTCCTCCAAGACACCAGGATCCCATCCAGAGCTGCCTCGGTGTCCTCTTCCCTGTGGGATGTTGGCTGGTGGATTCAACAGCCCCAGCGAGGGGTTGATTGGGGAAGGAAGAAAGAGGGAGGGAGGGGATTGGCCTCTGTAACCCCGGTTATCCCAGCCCAGGGGTGGTGAGAGCCAGGCTCCACCTCGCCCTCTTCCACCTTTCCTGCTTCCCAGTCCTTCTTCCTCCCTGCTCTGGGGCTGGGCAAAGGCACCAGGTGCGGTCAGAGGGGGAGGTGGAAGCCCAGGCCATGGCTTCCTGGGCCAGAAGACTGAGCCACACCCCGACCCACCCACAGGTGCTCCATTTCTTTGTGGGCTTTGGTGCTCTGCTGAGCCCCCTGATCGCAGACCCCTTCCTGTCTGAGGCCAACTGCTTTCCTGCCAATAGCACAGCAAACACCACCACCAGAAGCCACCTGTTCCACGCCTCCCAGATCCTGGGCCTGCACCATGCAAAAGCCCAGCCTGGGTCCAACCAGACAGTCCCTGGGCTGCCCCCAAAGGGCGGGACTGAGGTTCGAGTGTCCTACGCCTTCTGGATCATGGCCCTTATCAATGTGAGTGTCGCCGGGACAGGCTGGGTGAGGAGCTAGTGGACAGTCCACATCTCCTGGTCCATCCAGCTTCCACTGCAGATTCTGAGAAACATGCTGGGGCGGAGGGGTGCAGCCGGGAGACAGAGGGTGGGAGAGCTGAGCCCCCTGGATTGGCCTCTGGATTGCAGTTCTCAAGGAAGGTGGGAAGTGAGCCAGTGAAGCAGACCTGGAAGAGACCATGCCAACGCTGGGTTCCTCTCTGGGGTCCCTGGGGTCCTTCATCATGGGGGGAATCTCCTGTGCCCCGCTGTTAGGGTCTCCTCTGACGGCCGTGGGAGGGACAAGATGACTTCTGAGGGGCATTGCCTATGGTGTGGGCAGAGAGAGACCACCCCTCTTGCCGCGTCAGATACCCAGTTTCCACTGCAGCCCCAGACAAACCAGCCGTTCCTCAGGTCTTCATCTGGAAGCCTCCTCTGGTACTCTGCAACCCAGGAGGATCCCCTTAGCATCCCCCATGGAGTAGAGAGCAGGTCCCCACCCCCACCCCAGTCTTGGGAAAGACAATCCAGAAACACCAGAGCTGCCTGACCTCCTGGCTCAGGCCTAGCATGGAGCCTGGGGTGGGGAGTGTTCCAGGTGGTCATTGGCCCGCTTATGGGACAAGGACCCTGAGTGGTTTGTCACTCTGATGTAGAGCCTCTCTCTGAACTAAGCAGGGTTGGCTCTTCAGAGACAGCTGCTGCTCCAGAGCCTCAGTGACACAATACATGTAGCACTGAAGTGGCCCTGAGCACTGAGCACGGCACCACAGCAGGTGTCCCACCCTAACTGGCTCAAGGCCCTGAGCAGGGGACAGTAAGATGCCAGGTGGAGCTGGAAGCCCCTGCTCCCACCCCCCGGCAGAGACCTACTGCCCACCCCCCTGGTCACCGTGGCCTTGGACCTCCTTTCCCTGCCTGGAATCTTCTCGGGGGGTCTCAGCAGCACACCCCTCGCCCTCCACTTCCTTTCCTGTTCATGCTATCCACTGTTTTGGAACAATGCAGATTTGGACCTGTGTCTTCCAAGGGGTCCCTGTGACGGGAAGGATCAAGGACAGGGACGGGGAGCCCAAAGGCCCTGCCCAAGCACAGGGTCTGTTTTTTCTTGCCCCGTGAGGTGCGGACTGGAGGCAGTTAGTTTGCTACAGGATTTTGGGATTTTCCCATTGGTTTATGTCGGAACCAGCCCTCCACAGAAGAGAACTTGGTGGTGCTTGCACATGGGACACCCTCCCTCACACAGAGGCACACCCCACCTGGCACTAGCAGGCATTAGCAGGATTTCAAGGTGGTGCTGCCTTCCCTGAATGGGATTCTTCTGAAAATTGGGTGCGATCCTCCCAGCACCCACCTCCCTGGAAGGCCCCACCTGAGCGATCACGCCTCTCGCCGGCTGTTTCCCCTTGGCCTTCACCCAGGCATTCTGCCACTGCAGGCCTCTGTGTGGGTTTCCTGTTTCCCCCAGCAGACTGGAGGAAGGGCCGTCTCCCCCATCAGGCCCGGGACTCCCTGAGGGCGGGGCTGTGTCTCTTCCCACCCAGGCCCCATTTGCTACTTTACAGCTGCCAGGGACTGTCTGACCTTGACTTGCTTTTGAATATGCAGAAGGTCTCTCAAGGTCACATAGGGAGAGGTCAGTAGAGTGTGGGGTGGATTTTTTCTTTCAGGCTGGCATGAGCCAGTCTGCCTGGGGGAGAGTGAGGGGCTCCCCCGAAGCTGTGGCTAGCTGTGCTCCCCAGCTTCTGGGAGCCTATAGCTCCTTCCTCTTCTTCCAAAGTAAATCAGGAAGGCATCAGCAGACTTGCTAGAGCACTTCCTGGCAGGGAGGGTGGCCAGACCCAGGCAAGGGCACCCGAGGGAGGCCGTGGTGGCTTCTCCAGGCAACCTCAGAAGGAGGAGACTTTTCCCGTCACCCTGGGGAATCTCAGCTAGGTCCTAAGTGGCTTAGTGTAAAGAACAGAGCACCGAACACTGAGCTCACAAACATGGACTTGTCAGAACGAGATCATGTCTGTCTTCCAGTTTAAACAACAGGCTCCTGAGCACAGCTGGGCACCCTGCTAGGACATCACCTCACCCGGGCAGCCTCAGGTGGACATGGTGCCGAGCAGAATCCTGAGACCAGGTTCTGGTATAGCTCTGCCCAAGCCAGCTGCGTGACCATGACTCCCCTCTCTGGGCCTCTAGTTTATTTCCAAGGTCCCTTCCAATCCTAAGGAAGGGATAACTTTGGTCCTCAGTTGCCCCACCTGGAAACCCAGTCAGCCACCTGGTTCCTTCCACCTGGTTCCTTAGCTACCGTGGCTCCTCTGTGAGGTGGGTCCCTTGGAAAGGAGCTGTGTTCTCCCAGGACTGAGCAGAAGAGCATGGGTACCGCCCGGAGGGGTAGCAGCAGGCCTGCTGCGGGGCTGTGCTGACCTCTCCCGCCCCCCAGCTTCCAGTGCCCATGGCAGTGCTGTTTCTGCTGTCCAAGGAGCGGCTGCTGACCTGCTTCTCTCAGAGGAAGCCCTTGCTCCTTCCTGCAGACGAGCTGGCCCTGGAGACTCGGCCTCCAGAGAAGGAAGATGCCTCCTCACTACCCCCGAAGTTTCAGCCATACTCAGGTGAGGCTCACAGCCTCTGAGGCTTCCCTGGTAACCCCTTCCCCAGAGATGAACCCAGATCACATGGTTAGAGAAAAAAACTTGTGACTCCAAAAACTTTGAGACAGGAGATGGAGCAACCTGGCCAAGAGAACAGGGAAGACAGACTTTGGGCTCTAATGTCCATTCTATTCAACCCTGCCTGTGTTACCTTGGGCAAGTTACTTGACCTCTCTGACCCTTGGTTCTACCAGGACTGGGAGAAGGACGGGGGATGTTCCTAACAGCTGGCTGAAAGCTGGGACAGGTGGAAGCAGTAAGGAGGCCCCTCCTGCCAGGGCTCTTCTGACTGCCAGCCGCGTCCTCTGGGCATGCAAAGGGAGGGGGGCAGAAGCTGAGCCTCAGCCCTGCTCTTCCTCTGCCTCCTCCAGGGCACGAGGACCTGTTCAGCTGCTGCCAACGGAAGAACTGCCGGGGAGCCCCTTATTCTTTCTTTGCCATCCACGTCACAGCAGCCCTGGTCCTGTTCATGACAGATGGGATGACGGTGAGCCTGCCTCTGAGGCGCTCTGTCCTGGGAGGCCTCCACCCTGACACCCTCATCTGGGGATGGCACCAGAGAGGCCCATCAAGATTCCTAGAGACCTCCCTTGCAGCACAATTGATCCAAAAATTTAAATTTTGTTTTGGGTACCAGGGATTGAACTCAGGGCCACTCGACCACTGAGCCCCATCCCCAGTCCTGTTTTGTATTTTATTTAGAGACAGGGTCTCACTGAGTTGCTTAGCACCTTGCTTTTTCTGGGGCTGGCTTTGAACTTGTGATCCTCCTACCTCAGCCTCCTGAGTCACTGGGATTACAGGCATGTGCCACTATGCCAGGCCCCAACATTTAAACTTTTAAAGTCCTTGGAGACATGGTCCCCATGGTCACTCAGCATTGGTACCATGGGCTTCTGTCCTGGCTGATTGTATTTATTTTTGTCAACTCTACATAGGGGTCTATATGATTTTTCACTTATTATGTGACCCACATTTTCTTTTTTCTTTTTAAAGAGGCAGATCCCTGTTCCCCTAATAGAGGTCATGCCATATGAGCTCTGGGGTGCTTGGCTTCTTGGCTGTGTTGCAAACCCACCTTCTCAAGCCAGAGCTGTAAACAAGCCACAGGGAGGGCTTAGGCCCAGCTGTTCATCCCATTAGTGTGACCTCTGTTATGCTATTTAGTTCCTTTTTCCACAAAATCTTTTAGGACTAGATTAGGACACTCTTGAATGGCTGACCCATAGACTGGTTGCAATAGGGAGAACCCTCCAGAGAGAAGGCCCTAAAACACTTAATGACCTGGTGGAAAGTACTCCTGACAACTTGGTTGACTGCCAACTCTCAGGGTGACCTTGGACAAGTCACTTTTGCGACTCTCATCTATAAAATGAGAAACTTGTGCATACCTTGTTTTTAGCTAAGGAGCAATGCCCGTCTGCCTAAGTCCCATGGGGACACCCCGTGGAGATCCAGAGACATCTCTTGGGAACCTCTGAGTCTCTGCAGATGTGGCTCTAAGCCAGGTTCTGTCCTTAGCTCGGGCCTAAGTGTGCTCTGTGGTCTTGGCTCCAGGGCCTTCCCCTGCAGAGCCTCTGGGACAGGGCCAGTCAGTCCTCCCCCGCACTCCCAAGTCCGCCAGGGCCTGGACAGCATGTGCTCAACAGAGCCTGCTCTCTCCACAGGGGGCATACTCAGCCTTTGTGTATAGCTATGCAGTGGAGAAGCCGCTGTCTGTGGGACACAAGGTGGCAGGTTACCTCCCCAGCCTCTTCTGGGGCTTCATCACCCTGGGCCGGCTCATCTCCATTCCCATCTCTTCAAGAATGAGGCCAGTCACCATGGTTTTCACCAATGTGGTAAGTGGCTAAGTGGCCTCCTTCCCTTCTTAGTGACTCAGAAGAACTTGTCTACTCCTGGCCCTCCCGCTGCCCCAGAACATTTGCTCGGGATTGCACTCTGCCAACAAATGCAAAAGTAGAGGGAGGAGAGAAAGTGAGAGATGCTGGGGCGGAAGGATGGGATCTGAGCAGAGCGCTCATCTGTGCTACTTTGGAAAAATCCCTTCTCCTCTGTGGGCCTCTGATTTTACACCCTTAAAAGCATTCACAGAATAGGCTTTTGGAGGTGGTGTGTGGAACAGACCCTACTGACTGCCAAGGGCACAAGGGAGGGGCGTGTTGGCCTTGGCACATCTGTTTATTATGGTGCCAGCTGGTCAGTGGTGGCCAGAGATCCCCCAGCCTTTGTAATCATTCGCCAGGCTGCACCTGGGAACTTGCATTTTGTAGCTCTCCTGTCCCGTAGGCCAGGCCTGGCATTGAGGATGACCTTTAAGGGACTGCTGTGCTTAGGAGGCAGGAGGGCTGAGCCCAGTGGTGGGTTAAGACTTGTCCTCATTGCATCCACATGACCAAGGATGACAGAGGCGTCCAGATTACAGATCCTAATGGGGCCATTTAGTCCAGCCTTCCACCAAGGCGTGAATCGCCTCTGACATGCCTTCCAAGTGTTCTCCCATGACTGGGAGCGCACTCTTTTTCCAGGAAACCCAATCCACGGTAAGAAGGTACTTCTTCTGTTGAATTTCCAGCACACAGGAGGCGTGGACATATGTTGGGGCTATAGAGACAAAGATCGTGAGCCCCAAGAGAGGCCCTTGGATTTGGCCTTGTGCTCATCGATAATCTTCTTGAAAGAGATCTCAGTTCCGCGTCGATGGGAGTGAGCGGGGTAGGAGCTAAACTTCCAAGGCTGAGATGGGAAGTAGAGGAGTGAGCGCCCATTTCACTTTGCACATGTGTCTGCGTTGAAGGGAGCTGGGGTGTGGGGACCTGCTCGCAGGCAGAGGAGAAAGGGAGGAAGCCAGCGAGGAGAGGAGTCGTGATACTGAGGAAGGGTCTGGGGAAGGGAAATGGGGTGAAGAACAGGGGGTGAAGGAAGCATTGAGCTCAGTAAAGGAGGAAGGAGCGGGGAGGAGAGATCCCAGCGGGCTGCGAGGTGACGTGGAGGATGGGGACAGTGCTCATGGTGGCCTGCCTCAGCTTCCTCCTCCAGGGTGGAGGGGAAAGTGGGTGGGAATCAGGTTTGAGAGAATGACGGTTTCCTGGGTTTCCCACCGCACCTGAGTCAATCAGAATGTCCAGGGGCTTAGTGATCTATTAATTTAACAAACGCCCTGGGGGGGGGGTTCGCATCCCCAAGGCTGGGAAGACACTGTCCTAGAGAGAGTGATTCCAAACAGCTCAGACTCAATGGAGGTTCTCTTAGAAAACACAGATCCCTGAGTCCCCACGCAGAGCTGCCACTGCGGGTGGCGTGGTGAGTCCTCTGGGCCTCTGAGTGGTTCTACAGGTTTCGCAGGGGCCCTTGCCGGCCATCCTGTCTGGGAACTGCGGCTACCCAGCCTTGAGCAAACCTTTCCACTCACAGCTGTGATGTCACGACATTGTATTTCTTGTGACCACTTCCAAGACAGCCTCCCAAGGTAAACAGTCCCCTGTTCTCAGTGTTCTCCTGGAGTCATGGACCACTTCCGACTGCGTGCGTGTGCTTGTGTGAAGTCCTGTGGGAACTAGGGGTGCCCCGTGGGAGCAGAAAGAGATGGGTCTGGGGAGCAGAGCAGGGCTGCTTCCTGTAAGGTGGTGTACACCAGGTTTGGATTTTATTCTAAGGGAGCAGGAAACCATTGGGAGGTTTCAAGCAGGGAATGGATTTGATCTGCAGTGCATTTTGAAAGTGCCCTCTAGTTGCTCTGTGGAAGGTCAGACTGTAGGGGTCAGGAGTGACAGGAGGGACCTGTGAGAATCTGTTACTATAGTCCAGGCAAGATGAGCGTGGTCAGGATGAATCTGGAGAGAGAGAAAGATCCTAGAACATTTTTTGAGGTAGGGTTGACGGGACTTGCCATTGACTTGAAGCAGGAGATAAGAGAAGGAGGAATCAGGGGCCATCTAGGGGCAGAGCTTGAACAACTGCATCAATGAGGATTGTGCTGCTCAGCTTTCTGTCACCGTGATGAAGTGCCAGAGGTAATTATAAAGAGACAAGGTTTATCTTGGCTCATGCTTTGGAGGTTCCTGTTCATGATCAGGTGGACCCGTTGCTTTACGCCTCTGATAGACGTGTCAGATGGCAGTGGCCAGGAGCTTGGCGGAGCATACTGCTCACCTCATGAGCCAGGAAGCAAAAGGAGAGAGGAAGAGGCCAAGATCCCACAATCCCCTTCAAGGTCACTCCCAGATGACCTAAGGACCTCCCATAAGGCCTCACCTCCTGAAGGTTCCACCACCTCCCCACAGCGCCACCCTGAGGACCAAGTCTAACACACGGGCCTTTCAAGATCTCCACTAGAGCAGGGACGCTTGTCTTTTCCCCATTCTTGAGAGCCCAGTTTTTTTATTTGCTCATGCCTTGCATTTGAAGTACTCTTCCATGACACCTTTCCCTGAGATTCTCCATGTAGTCCTTAACCACTTCACAACCGGTCCCTTAATAGGCTTCCCCTCCCTGTCCGTTTACAGAGGCCCGCCCATTCCCCTAGCTTCTCATTTTCCTCAACCTCAAATATTTGATGTGGTGCTCAGCACAAAGGTTGTCCTCCACCTTGACATTCATAGACTCCTCACAGTTGGATGCAAGCAAACAAAGATGGGCTTGGTCCTCCTCGAAGGCTTTGGCAGCTTCGCAGATCTCCATGTGCTAGGCCGTCACCTCTTGTAAAGCAGTGTCCACGTCCATCACACTCTAGCACTATGCATCTCTCACCCAAGGCCATGGGTTATAGATGAAGCCAAATTTGTGTGTGTGTGTGTGTGTGTGTGTGTGCGCACGCGCACGCGCGCGCGTGCACTAAACATGGAACCCAGGTCCTTGCCCATGCAAAGCACATGATCTACCACTAAGCTACACCCCCAGCTCCTGGAGCTACACTGGAGCCTCAGCCTCCTCATAGCATGTGGGCAGCAAGAAAAAAGCAGGGGATGGTATTAATTGCCATGGGGAGGAGTAAACGAGTAAAGGAATTCAAAAGTTCGGGTCGGGTGACATTGCTAGTCATCCAGTGATTGACCATATCAAAGGGCAGTTTTATATGCAAGACTGAAGTTCTGGATGCAGCTCAGAGCTGGGGGCATAACTGTAAGATGCTCTGCCATGGAGATATTCAAACCCTTGGAGCTGTGTGAAGGGGGAATGTGGATGGAGAAGAACCAGAGAGGAATCCTAGGCCCCTGTGACATTTAGAGACTGAGCAGAGGAGGGAAAGAGAACAAAGGGAGCCATGGCACCGAAGAACACATTGTGTTTGGAAGCATGGATTTGTCGGGTTGCTTTCATATTTTCGCTGCATGGAAGAAGTCTTTGGTGTTGCTTCTCCATGGTGAGGGAATGCATCGTTTCTCTTCGGAAACGCTTTTGTGCTGAATTCCTCTCCAGGGCAGGAAGTCTGAGTCTGATACACAACTCACAGAACACCTAAGAGGTCATGAGGCAGAGCTGGAGGGGCTGGGAGGAGAGCCACAGGCTCAGGGTTGGGGTTAGTGGCTTTGCTCCTTGGGCTGGTGTAAACCCCCCCACACACACCATGTCTACTATTACTCTTGAAAGGGCTCTTCCTTTCTGCCTGCCCAGCTCCTCATCTGTGAGCCGCACAGAGTGGGCATTAGCCTAGATGTGATTTCTTGCCTGCTTTCTGGGTCTGTATTCTTAGTTTTTCCTGGAAACAGATGTCCTTGCCTAGGATATTTTGGTTGGTGTTTCTGTGCTGGAGATAGAAGCCAGGGCCTTGCACATGCTAGGCCAGTGCTCTACCACTGAGTTACACTCCAGACCACACCCCAGGACATTTTTTTTCTCAAAGCTGCCAGCTTCTATAGAAGATCTTTATTTCCTGGGAAATTAAGAAAATCCCACACATAGGGCTGGGAGTGTAGTTAATTGGCAAAGCACTTAGTTAGCATGCAAAAGGCCCTGGGTTTGACCCCCAGCACTGTTTATTCGGCATGCATGGTGGGGCATTTGCCTAGATGTCCAGGTAGGCCCGCTTCCCTGTGCCCTCTTAGGTCCTCTTAGGGCTTTCCTTCCTGGATCCCAGACTAGGAATGTTGCAGTTCCCAAATCGTCCACTGAGTGGCGCATTGATCACACGGCGCTGCACAAGGGGCCCCGGAGGCAGCTCAGTCTGGGGACTCTGGACTCTCAATTTTTTCCCTTCTCGATGGATGCCCGGCTTTGCCCAATCTCTGATCACCTCCACCTCTGCTGCAACAGATAGGCGTGGTGGTGACTTTCCTCGTGCTGCTTATTTTCTCCTCCAATGTCATCTTCCTGTTCGTGGGGACAGCGAGTCTGGGCCTGTTCCTCAGCAGCACCTTCCCGAGCATGCTGGCCTACACCGAGGACATCCTCCAGTACAAAGGTGAGTGCCGGCTGGGAGCAAAGACGCACCCACTCTTGGGCCGGACGCCCCTTCCTCTCCCACGCTGAGGCTCCTCCTGATGGGTGGAGATGGGTTCGTGCTGGAAGGTGCTGGGCTCAACCTTAGACCTGAATCCCTATGCCTTCAGGCCGCAGAGAAGCAGTGCAGCTTCTTTCCAGTATGGTAATGTCTGTGGACCTACAGCTGACGTTGTATGGATCCTGTGCGCTGGAAGTTCCAAACTGAAAGGGAAACAATGTTTCATGGAAAACTTAGAACCCGGGGAAGGCATTTTACTACGGGTTTAGCAGTGCTGGGGATTGAATTCCAGCTCGTGCATAGCCTGCAAGCACAGTACCCTGGAGCTACACCCCAGACCAGGAGAGGCCTTCCTTCCTTCCTCCCTCCTCTACCCCTCCTCCTCCTCCTTGCCCTTCTCTGCTCCTTCTTCTTTTAAACCAGGGATTGAACCCAGGGGTGCTTAACCACTGACCAGTCCTTTTTACTTTTTATTTTGAGATGGGGTCTCCCAAAGTTGCTTAGGGACTTGCCAAGTAAGTTGCTGAGGCTGGCCTTGAACTTGTCATCCTCCTCCTCAGCCTTCTGGGTCACTGGGATCACAGGCGTGCACCTGGCATTTCATAATTTAATGATCAGTAACAGTGCCTCCTTGCTTTGTTGTGGGATATTGTTGAAAGCAAACTTCACACCTGGCTTGAGGTTGACACAGCTTTGATGTCAGAAACCTGATTCTCTCAACTAACCTCCTTTCTCTTCCCTTAACCCCTCTAAGTACATACAGTACTGATTTTTTAAATTAGTTAATTAAAAATAGTTGTATTTTGAACATTTAACATCACCCTTAGAAGTAACTAGATGCCCTGGCTGGAGGCTGGAAAACCAGCATTAAGATGGGAGAAATTAGCACTGTACCCACCTTGATTTCCCACAGTCATGAGAGACAGGGAGAGTCTGGATTTTTGAAATCCAAGGAAAACTCAAATACTTTTAGCTTACAATGTCATCACTGGTTGTTAAGAAAGAATAAAATATTTTCTATGATAAACTTGCACATATTTTGTTTTCCAAATGGAACTTGTTATTATGAAAGTAGTAAATACTCACTGGGAAAACCTCAAACAATAGAAGCATGTTTTAAAGCAGTAAATGAAAGTCGCCCAAAATAACTTCTCAGCAGTTTTTCCTCCCAGTTCCCTTCCAAGCATGTATTATATATCTGTGTGAGCATATATTTAAGTGCAAACGAGGCTGTACCTACAGTATTTTATTTTTGTCATTTAAAAGAAAAACAGTTCACATGATAGGATGAATCAAAGAATCAAACATATTTGAGGTTCTGGGCTTCTGGCTCTTCCAAGTGGGCTACTATCCGTGACCTGAGAAATGCCCCCAAGCAGCACACTCCTGGTTATATTCCAGTGAACCGTGACCGAAGAGGTCCTGGCCTCCCTGTAACTGAGGACTGAGATGTAGCAGCTGCCAGTCATCATCTGGCCATCCCTCGCCATGTCTGTGCCACTGGGGAAACAAAGTGCAGGGGACATGCCCAGGGAGACAGTCCCTTCCCCCAACTCATCCATCCCAACATAGTACCAATACAGCCATAAAACAGCAGCCTGTGGCTCCACCAGCTCCCCAGGGCCAGGCCCTGAGTGCTCAGGTTCCAAATGAAGTAACAAAAGAATGTCATCACATGCCGCACAGTATATCCCCCAGAGTTTCAAGTGACCAACACTTGTTAGCTCAAGAAGTCATACTGATCGGGCCTGAGAATGATCACCCACACCCATCTTCTTTTCTCACTATCTCTGCTTAACTTGGGGCCTCATCATCCCTTACCTGCCTGGGATATTGAGCAGTGGCTGGTTTTCCCAGTTTCTGGTCACCTCTCCCTGCCTTGAGAAGCCCTGGTGTGTTTCCTTGTCTTTAGTCTTGCCTCTGTCTAACCAGCTGGCTCAGTCTCAAGGTGAACCATCTGGGGCTCCTGGAACAAGACCAGTGACCGGTCCTCCCCTGGTGATGTCATGGGCTGCAGCTGCTGGGTGGTTCTAAGGTGTAGCTGGGTCTGAGGACCCCGTAAGCCGCCCTCCATGCTGCTGCAGAGGGAGCTCTTTAAGACACAGCTGTGGAACCTGGGATCCTCCTATGGACCCCCTCCCTTTCTTCTTGGCCTTCCCTGTCCCTGCTGCAGCTCGGAGCCTGCCTTCCAGCCAACTCCTTGGTGTTTCTTGATGATGCTGCTCTGGACCTCCATGCTTTGGCCCGTGGCTGCCTCTGCCTGGACTGTGTGCTCTGTTCCATCTTCCCCTTTGCCTACTTGGCCTTCTCCCATCGTTCGGGAAGCTTCTCTGATTTCCCTAGAAAAGTGTGTCCCCTCCTTTGTGTTCCACTGATTCACACCTGCCCCTGCTGCGTGGCCCATCCCAAGGCTTTCATACCCATGTGCTCCAGCATGCTGCAGGCTGGCAACAGGGGGGCAAACAGTGTGGGCTTTGAAGTCATCAGCAGACCTGTCAGTCCTGCTTATGACCTCGTGCAACCCATTTCCTTCCTTTCCCTGGCCTCAGTTTCCTCATCTGCAAAGTAGGGATACAAAGACAAACCTGTTAGGATTGTTTTGTGTATTGGAGAAAATGTAAAGCCCTAGGCTTGGGCGTCTTTGCTGGCTGAGGTGCTGGGTATCTGCTCGCCCTTACTTTTCATCTGTTGCCCTGTGTTCAACACAGTACCTGATGCTCGGAAGGCCCTCCCAGTGTGCTGAATGAATGCATGAAACAGTTGGATGCCCTTGGAATTCAGAGAAGGGAGTGAGCAGTGTGAATTTAGACAAGTCATGGAGCTAGTGGGGTGTGAGTGGCTCAGGATTTATAAAGGCAGAGAGAGAAAAGGAAAGAAAGGAACTCCATGGAGGGGCGGCATTGGAGCAGTGAGCAGTGTGAGAGCAGCCGGGACAGGATGGCGGTGAGGGAGACTGAAAGAGAGGGAAGGAGCACGCTGCCCTGGGAAGGGGATGATGCGCTGCTAACGCTGCCTTCCCTGGCTGGCCAACATGCGGCTGTAAGTGCTGATGTGCGCCAGGGAACCGAGTCAGGACACAGTCATCTTCCTGGCCTTCAGCCTAGAGGGGAAGGCTGGCAGGTCCACAGCCAGGGAGGTAGGAACAGGGTGCAGGGGGCTGTCAGGGCCCAGAGGAGAAGCTGCAAATCCAGGCTTCTGAAGAAAATCTAAACAAAGAACTCAAAAATAAACAGGAACGTGGTGGTGCACACCCAGTGGGCCCAGCACTTAGGCAGCTGGGGCTGGAGGAGCTCTCCTTCAATCTAGAAGTTCAAGGCCAACCTGGGCAACACAGCAAGACCTCCACCACCATCTCAAAAAAACAAAAAAGCATAGGAGTTTGCCAAAGAGGAGGAGGAGGAGGAATGTTGAGGAGGGCATGCGGGCATGTCGGGGCTGGCAGTGAGAGAGTATGCAGGGTCAAGGAACCCAGAGAGTTCATCCTGGCTGGAGGGGAGTGGGAGCAGGCAGTGAGAGCTGGGCCCTACAGACCATGTGCCTGTGAGGACTTTGGCCCGAAGGTGAGCAGAAGGGTTGAAGCAGAAAGCCCGCCTGGTTCTGAGCATTCGCTGTGGGCCAGTGCTCTGCAGGGCACCTCACGCGTTCTACAGCAGAGTTACCCACACGGTGGCCCCGTGAGGGAGGCATCCCAATGCCATCTTACATAAAAGGAAAGTGAGGCCTTCAGAATTTAGAGAAGTTACCTGAGGCACATAGCTAGTGATCAAGCTAGCCTGGGAACCCAAGTCTGATGCTGAAGCTTGGGCTCTGCAGGTCTGCATGGGGCCACCCTATGCAGCAGAGCATGTGGCTGGTCTGTCACAGTGCCAGGAGAGTAAAGACCCTGGTCTGCTCTCTGATGCATTGGAGGTTATTAGGAAACTTCTCTGGAATGGGAGGTGGTGGTCAGATTGGGATAAGTCCCAGGTGCCCAGCTAAGCATCATGGGATTCCCCCTAAAGACACTGTGAGCAATGAAAGGCAAGGACAGTAAGCTGTAGGCATTCTCGAAGCAAAGTTACAGGGTAAAGTCCGAAAAGCTTTAGGAATCCAAAGGAGTCCTCTTAGCCATTCCATGTCCTAGAGGTTTCCCAGAAGCATCCTGGGTAATCACAGCTGACTTCTGATTCCTCCTCACCTTGCTCTAACCCTAACCCATCTCTCTCTGTCAGGATGTGCGACCACAGTGCTGGTGACAGGGGCAGGGATTGGCGAGATGGTCCTGCAGATGCTGGTTGGTTTGGTACGTGGGGTCCTCTGGGGATTGGTTGGGGAACACCTGTCCAGACAGGTGAGAAGATGCAGCCAGCACCTTCTGGCCTGAGCTGTCTGCCTCCAGAGTTCCTCAGAGCCTGTGGGTCCCACCCTGCCAGGGTTAACGTGTTTTTCCCAGCCAACCTCAAAAGCTGGGCCTGCAAATGTGGGATCTGGGGACATGAACAGACGTGTGGACTAATCCAAAGCAAACACAGGCCACGTCTGGGAGTGGGGCCAGGGGTGACCCGTGGGAATGCTGTTTGGCTCTCAGATCCTGAGACCGTGTGAGCTGCAGTTAGAGTTCTTCCATCCCTGCTCCCTTGACCACCTCTCTCTGCCTGTGGCCACGCTGCACATGGCCCAGCCTCCTGCCCTGACCAAGTACTGGCTCTCCCGGCTCTCCCCAAACATGCTTGTGTTCCATTAAGAACATCGTCAAGAAAACAAAACGAAACAAAATAAAAAGCTAATATCTGCTTTTTCTTGAATACTACAATATAGATATTCCCCTTTTTAAAACAGGGGATACTGAAACTTAGATAAATTTAGCAACTGGCCTGAGGTCAGTCACACTTCTGGTAACTAACAACAGTGACATGGAACCTAGGTATTTTGGTCTCCAAAGTCCCCCTCATTACCACTCCACTCTCCTTTCCTTTCCTTTTGCCCTGCTGCATGGAGGAGAAGAGCCCCATCTCATGATGCCCTTGGCCCTATAATGACGCCATGTCTGGGATTTATTTCAGTGTAATCCAGTGCAGGAAAGAAGTGGAAGGTCACAGATGAAATCAGTGCTAAAGTTGGGAGATACATCTATGAGAGTTCCATATGCTACTTTGACATGTTTGAAATTTTCATAATAAAATGTTGAAGAAAATGTACATCCTCTGAAAATTTCCAGTTAGGTCTATGAGGATAGAAACACCTTGTGTGATTGGAGTTTCAACAATGATATGGAGATTTTCAGAAAGTTCCAGAACCCGGAGCTGAAAGACTACAGGGGGTCACCAGGTCTGACCCCAGCCATAGGGCAGGATTTCTGCCTCCCCCAGACACAAACCTTTGAAAAGACCCAAGACTTCTGTCCTCCAAGTATTCCTGTCCATTGGTGCGATGGCCTCAGCCTGACAAGAGAAGCCTGCCAAGGGTCCGAGACGGCGCTTCCGCCAATGCACTTTCCACTTGACGTTTCAATGCCTGAATCTCTGTGTTTTCCCCTTTGGCAGATATTCCAGGCCCAGGGCAGCTATAGTTTCCTGGTCTGCGGCGTGATCTTTGGCTGCTTGGCTTTTACCTTCTATGTCTTGCTCCTGTTTTTCCACAGGATGCACCCTGAACTCTCATCAGGTGAGGAAAAGATCCGCTTCTACACAAGAGGAGGAAAACGGCGCGGGGGAGGGAGGGGGAGAGGCTGGGATCTTAGCACGCCACAAGTGCAGCTCTGTTCCAAGTAAAATGCAAGGAAATGTTTATTTTTCTACAGCTTCCTTTCCCCCTCTTCCTGCTTTCCCTGCGATTGTCTGCGCTGAACTCTTTAAGCCGGTGGGAGTGGGACAGGCTGACTCATGGTTTCTCCATTAGCAGAGGGACACGGACTGTGAACTTGGCTTCCTGCATCTCACCATGCTGTGGCACCATGGCCAAATACCTCTTTCCAGCTTGTTGAGGGCACCGAGAGGCACAGCCCGCCTCCCTGGCTGGAACTTGGCCCAGCAGCCTCATTGGCCAACTCTTTGCAGTTCAGGATTTTGATTCTGGTCCAGATCTCTTGTCCAAAAGAAGTTATTTAAGCCAAATGGCAAAGAACAGATCCTTCGGGGCAGAGACACCTCCTAAGAATAGTCTCCCTCCTGGAGACCCCAGGCAGGGGGAGTCCCAAGCTATTTTCATAACCCTGAGCCCTCAACCTGTGCCTGCCCAGAGCTCTCAAAGTGCCCAGCAACTACGGCTGTGCGCATGGCTAGTTCTTAAGAGAAGGTGCCCAGACAGTCCTGGTCCACTCCATCGAAAGTAGAATAATAATAAAAAGACTGAAAATAAGTATGCACTGTCCTCTGTGTCACTGGGTGAACATATCCACCCCGTGAACACTCAGAGCAAAGGCCCAGAAGTACAGGAGGATCTCCCCACCTAGAACAGCTCTAACCACAGACTTGCTTCTGAGATGGCAAGTGCCAATCATTGGCTAGCTCAGCACTCAGCAGAGTGTAAGACAAACATTCAGTTAATATTTGATGAATATCAGGCTGGGGATGTGGCTTAGTGGTGGAATGCTTGCCTAACACACTTGAGGCCCTGGGTTCAATCCCCAGCACTACAGGAAAAAAAAAAAAAATCTGAGTATCAAATGAGCAACACCTTTCCTGTTCCTTCTCCATGGGAGGCAAAAATAGATGCGCACTCCTGGAGCTCCAGACATTAGCCTCAGCAAGCTGCCTGGGACTGACTTCTTACTGGGCTCCCAAATGAGCCGTGGAACAGCAGAGACAAAAAGCTCGGGTCAATGCTCGGAATCAATAATTGCTGCAAGGAGTCTGAGCAGCTGAGACATGCTATCTAAATAATTAATTAATTAATTAATTTATTTATTTATTGTAGCTTCTACCCCAGACCGACCACTTGGAATGGAGAACTCTGATTACTACCAGAGGTGAAACCGGGGGCCGGAGGCAGGCGAGGCTCCAGCCTCCTGAGCACCAACGCACCTGGACTGTGGAAGGCAGCCGAGGGTCGCAGTGGAGTGGCCTCTTCTCAAAGCCTTTGCTCTAATCTTTTCCACTTGGACTCGGTTGGGCAGAAGAAATTAAATTGAGTCCCCATTAAATTTGCCTGGGGTCCTCCTCTGGCAAATCATTGGATTTTCCTGGTGATTCCGGTTACCTTCTCTTCCCCAGTTCAGACTCAGGTAGGGCTGTCCAGGATACTGAGACAGGAAGGCAGAAGACAGCTGTGCACGTCACTTTGTCACTTCGTGCATAGACCATACCCTGGGTCTGAGGTCACTCTTAGATGAAGTTTGAAAAACTAGGTTGACATTGTAAAGCGTGTTGATCATTGCTCTTTGTAGATGTTTTCAATGAATCAAAACCAACCCTGTTATTCCCTGGCATGTTCAAAAAGGACTGATGTGCTTTTTACTTACTCATGGTCCCAAGTTCCTCCCATTCCTGCCGCAGAGATCAATGGTTCATGTGTATTCTAAGACATCAGAAGGAGAAGTTGAATTGTGTTCTCTTTGGGACACTAATCCAGTGGTATGCTGGGCTTGCTCACACCAGCTTAGAAAAGCTGATCAGGTAATAAATAATCAAAACTTACCACTTCCTAATTTTATTCTATGGAGGCTCTTGAGATCATTCTGGTCTGTATTATAGGGGTGGAGAGGTTACCAGGTGATAAAGTGCTGCTGGGCATCTCTTCCCAACTCCACCATGTTGGCAGCTTGTGATCAATTATGGTGGGAGTATGTATACCACTAGCATCTGGCAAAAGTTACAAATTAGAGCTTTCCCCCGACCCTGGGGAGCCAGTAGTTAAATATTTACCAGTATACCACTGCAAGTAAGCAATGCTAATTGGTCCAGAAATCCCCTGGGAGAAAGAGATGGCCTGTTTTTCTTTACTGGGATGACAAGCATGTAAAAAGGTGTAAAAACAGCACTAAGAATTTCCAAAAATATTTTACATTTTTTTTTTTTTTTGTAGAGGAAAAAACCTTTTATACTATGTCAAGGTCTTTTCTCTAACAATAAGCTGGGACTACCGAAAAATTCTAGCCTCACAGTATGCAGAAAGCAGAGTCTTATCAAGGAATTAGGGGTCCTAGGAAGGGGAGAGGCAGTAACATAAAGTGAGAATATGAACTCTTCAACTCAGACAGGGGCTAAGAGTACTGTGGCTTCTAGAAGTATAAAATAGCTGTTACAAGAACTGGTTTGCCTGTATTTTCTTGATGTATATACAAATGTACATGTATAAATATAAAAATCCCAAGGGCTGTAGTTCACATGCCTGACACTGAAAGGTTTTTCCTGGATCTGCAGGTGTTGACAAGTTAGCCAGCTCTGACTACTACCAACAGCACAGCCATGAGATTGTGGCTAGAGAGAGATCTGGGCTGAGCGCTGGCCTCCCTTCCAGCTGTGTGGCCCTGGGTGGATCACAGAGGCTATTCCAACCTCACTTTTTTTTAACCAGTAAAGTAGAATTTCTAAAAGTACCCTACCTCACAGGAATTCTGAAAAAATTAAGGGAATTTGTATAAAGCACCTGCTACGCTTGGCATAACTTGCTTGATATACGTTAGAAATTTTTATTTTCAAAGCCTCCTCCTAAGCAATTTAGAAATTGTTCATGTTTGGTACATATTTATTGTTAAGTCAGAAAGACCCAACTTCTTTGGAAAGCTAGCAGTCTCGCGGTATAGTTTTAACTATGTTTGTAAATACTTTTAAGATTAGCCAAATTCAAATGTGCACTCTGACTGTAGTGACTGACCTGGCAAAGAGAAAGCAATTGTATTTTCTTGTGGTTTTTGGGGAAAAAAAAATCCTTTTTATAGAGATTTAGAAGGCAGAATCATTAACTATATCTAAGTTGATCATGATTAATTTGTTAATAAAGAAAATAAGATTAAAACAAATATAAGTAACTTTCCTAAAATAAAATATTTTAAACTTAATAAGTGTGTTATCCATTTTGGACAACTGACCCTTTTACATAAGCTCAGAAACAAATGATCTGGAGAGAGGTCTTGCTCATCTATAGGTTCCTACAGCTGATATTATTTATATATTTGGGGGGAGTAAACATTCTGGAGGTGGAACCCAGGATGTCAGACATCCTAGGCAAGAGCTCTGTCACTGACTACACCCCCCGCTCTCATGGCTGATATTTCAGAAGGAAACTAAGGGCTGAGGGCCCCTATTCCCTCTGACATGTCATTGAAGAAGGAGAAGGCAATAGGCTTTCACACCACAAAGTGAGTTACAAAGTAAGCAGGGCTTCCTTCCTGATCTTCAAGTTTTGACATTTCAGAGTACCATGAAGTCACCCTGTTCCCAGATTCCTTATTACATGGATATGGGAATCTAACTCATCAGCACACTTGAGTCACCAAAGGAAGATACGGTGATGTAGACACAGAGGCCTGATATAGAGAATGCATTTATTCATTCGAAAGAGTCTGATCCAGGTGCAGTTTCAGCAGTGAGAAGTCTCTGCCTCACAGGGACTACACTGCAATTGAAGAAACAGGCACAGACATCACTGTTTCAGATAACACACAGAAAGGTGAGAGGTAGTGGAGTACCACAGAGAAATAGAAAGCAGGGAAGGGGGTGGGTGGGAAGAGGGAATGCACACAGATGCTCCGAAGACTTTACTAAGGAGGTGCCATTTGTGCAGGACCTAAGAAGAAAAGCCATCCAAGTACCTGGCAAAGATCTTTTTAGACAGGGGACATGGAGAGTCCAATGGTCTTAGACTGGAATGTGCTTTATAAAATCTGAGGAACAGCAAATGGACTAGTATGGCTTAAGTGAGGAAGGAAGACAGTGGCAGGAAGTAGGCCGAGTGCTGGCTGGGGGCCAGACCAACAAGCCAGGCAAAGAATGTGGAAATTTTTGTATGTGATGTGAGACTATTAGGAGAGTTGCAAGCAGTGTAATGACACGGTTTGACTTAGAGGTTTTAAAGTACCATTCTGGATGTTATTCGGAGATGAGACTATGGGGCAAGCACGGAATGTTAAAGACCAGCTTGATGTAATACTGGAACATGTCAGTAGCAGTGGAATTGGTGGAAGTGATTGGATCAAAGCTGTATTTGGAAGGCCAAACTGACAGAATTTGCTGATGGATTGAGTACAGGGTGTGAGGCAAAGATGGGAATTGAAGATGATGCCTGGGCATTTGACTTGAGGAACTGAGTATATGAGAAGGTCACTTAAGGGCTAGGGTTGTGGCTCAGTGGCAGAGCGCTTGCCTAGGACACATGAGGCCCTGTGTTCTTAGCACCACATAAAAACAAATAAACAACAACAAATAAATAAAGGTTAAAAAAAAAAAAAAAAGGCCACTTAATACTAGAAAGCATTGGGACCACTTAGGAGTCTTGTTTTACACATGCTCGTCTCACAATACTAACTTGGGTGTCAAGAAGATAGCTAGATAAATATGTCTAGAGCCTACAAGTCAAGGCTGAAGATGTAAATTTTGTGATCACATACATATAGAGGGTTCAAATCCATGGGACTGAATGAGACCAGCTAGGGAGTGAATGTAGAGATTCAAAGATCTAAAGATCAGGGTTCTTCAACACCTCGAGGTTTAACAAGATTCGATCCAGCACAGCAAATGAGAGAAGCCAGAGGTAAGAGGAAGTTCAAGAGAAAATGTGGTTTCTTAGAAGTTACGTGAAGAGTATCTCATGAAGGAATCAGTGCTGTCAAGAGGCAAACCAAGGAATGAATATCAACTGCTGAACCTGGCAACACAGATGGTGACCTTGATTACAGAGAGGCTACGAATTCAAAACAAATACAAATCACGGAGTGGACTCTGGCACTCCAGCAACTTCCTGAACACCAGAGCTCATCACTTGACCCGCACAGCTGTTAGAGATCTTTGCCTCCATTTCACCTTCAATATTATCCACTGCTGGGTTACTACTTTAAGAGTTACTCCCTCTGAAGTCACTTTTATCAACTCCTTCAGGCACAGGGTGTACTGCCATCAGTGCTGGGTTTTATAGCCACATCAATATGAAATCTTACAACTGTTAATGATTATCTCCCAACTGACAATGCCAGCTCTGAAACAAAGTGTTAGTGTATTGGTGTGTCATCCAATCCATCTGTAAAACACTAAGTGCTTGCCAATTAAGCATGCCGCTCAATAGAGGTTAGAAAATAAATGAAGGACTTGAAGCATCTGATATTCTAAAATGCAACTGAATCTCCAAGTACTGAAGACTCTTTTATGAGCTCATGGCATTACTGTTCTAGGTAATGTGTTTTAAGAATGGTACTTTAGGAGAGTTTATCAGTTCCCACAAGAGAATATCAGCCAATGAGCATCGTCATCTGAAGTGACATCTCACAAGGGTAGGTGAATTGCCTCACCAGCAATTTTCAACTAGAGATATGAAATAGCTTTCTGATATGATTTTTCCATCTATTAATCCCACTTTCCCCTATATGTGTTATTTCAAACCAGTTCTGAAAGGCCTCATTTCATTTGTTAAATGAACTTAAATCTCTGCTTTTGTAGCTCAAAAACCATACAAAGAAACGTGCTAAAACAGAAATAAGCAAAAGTTGCTCTTTTCAAAAGCTACAATAAAGGCATCTTATTAAAAAATGTTTTTAAAAAACCTTTAAAATGTCAATAAAGTAAAATAGAGATTTCACATAGTTAATAATTTTTTCTTGCTGGTCAGTTCTCTTTTAATTCACTTTATGCCAATCATTTGCAGTCTCCCCCTTTCACTGCCTGTCCCAACCTAGGTTTTAAATATTTTAATGTAGATACATACCAAGTAGTTGAAGATCAGGTTTAACCAAAAAGCACTGGGAAAATTAAATTCCTTCCTTACCCCTTGTTAGCATGGATGGAAATACAATACAATGCACAGAGACTATCTCAACAAATGTGAAAGAAGGGAAATGAATAATCAATCCA